AAAATCATGGCAGCCTGCGGACGAATTAAGTCATTTTACATTTTATATAGCTACTAACGCAAATCACTCTCTCATTTTTTTTCCCACTACAATGGCCCAAATATAAAAATATATTTAAATTGTACAGTACAGTTCAGTGAATATATCATTAAGGTTTTCATAGAATTATTATTATTTTTTTTTTATCCTGAAGCAGCAAAATAAATGTCAGAACAAAATGTAAATATGTCTGGAATTATATAATGGAACTATATAAATAACAAAAAAAGTCAGCAAAATGGTAGGTTACACTTTATTTTAAGGTACGTTTAAGTACTGAGTAATAATAATCTACTTACTATAGGGTTAGGAATTTGCTTTGACTTAGAGTTAGTTGCAAGTAATTATGCACAATTTATAATAGCTACTGTACACTCTTAGAAAAAAAGGGTTCATTGGGGTTCTATATATGAAGCATAGGGTTCTTTACTCAACTCCAAAGAACCTTTTATGCTAAAAAAGGTTCTATAATGACAAGAAAGAACCCTTTTGGCACAAAGGTTCTTTATAGGCTATTATTCATTCATATATTACAATATTCTGCAACATTTTGTAGTTGTAATTAAATTATTGTTCATTAAACTGTTGTAGTAACTTAATATCACATTTTGATCATGCAGATTTTTGGAGGAGAAAAACTGAAATGGCACTCTTCGTGTGATATTGATTAACTACATAAAAGGATATAAATATATACATTTTCTAACCTTCATATCTTGAATATTGTGATCATTCACATGCATTCATAAATACATTTTAGGGTCTTGATGTTTGTCAATAATATGAAATATATTTAATCCGGAAAGGACGACACAAATGATAATGAATGAACCCAAAAGGTTCAATATAGAACCTTTTTCCTGGTTACAAAGAACCCTAAATGTTTTTTTATTATTGAACCCTTAAAAATGGTTCTGTATAGAACCTTTTAGGGGTTCCAAATACGTAGCGCTGATAGAACCTTTTAAGATTCTATATATAGAAACTTTTCTTCTAGCTACATGTAATGTGTAACAAGGACAATAAAATAAAGTGTTACCAATTTTTTAAATAAAATAATATCATATATCAGACTGATCTCATGAAGTAGCGTGTGTATGACACGCCAATTCGTATTTAAATTTTTGGCGTGCTATCAACACGCATAATCGCTTTTCAGCGTGTTTATGAACGCTGTTGACTTAATGTTATTACTGTATATATAAATATATGACTTACCTCAACCCTGTCCCTAAACCTAACCGTCACTGGGGTTAATGGCATTTATGACTGTTCCCTAACCATCCTAGGAAAGAAAAACATAGCTCCCCAGATGTAGATGTACATTTTGCTTTGTGCACGGTGTCAAATGTCCGAGCAAAACAGACACGCAGAATGACGCGGACGTTAATGGCGTAGACATACACGCATACACGCGGATAGCTCAAAATGCGTCGAGATAACACGCCACTTGACTCGAAATTGGCGTGTATGTTTACGCAAAAGTCATGATGTCATGTTGCATATATGGGTCAGAAAAAAAATGCACTTTTGTTTGTTTTAAAAACTTTAACTATACAATATAATATATAAGGTTTTTCACCATAAAAGCATCTTTTAGATTTTTGTCAGTTCATTAAAGGGCCTACTGTAGATTGTAAGGGTGTAAATCTGACAGTTAATCACGATACGATACGATATCGATTCTCCCAGCCAGTGATACGATATTTGCTGATATCTCAAAAAAATTCTACAATACGATTCAATTCGATTTAGGGCTATATCAATCGATTAATCGATATTTAGATATTATGTGCCAATTATTATTATGTTTTCCTTTTACGAGCCGATGAAGATATCATGGGTTGGCTGAAATCTATCCTCAATCACTTTTAGTCCGCTTCGACGAAACTCCTTTCAGCTAGCGCGTCTTTTCAAAGTGACAAGGAGTCTTGTCACCTGACCTGAATACTGCGCACTGATTTGCTAAAACAGACTTTTCGGGGCTTGTCCTCTCTGCTGCAAAACATCAACTTGCGATGCCTTTTCAGTGGAAGATACCAGCTTTTGTGACAAAGGGTTCAGTGAGTCTTGTCAGACGTCTATTTCAGCGGAGAAAAGTTATGTGAGGATTCGGAGTGTGTCAAAATAAAGGTACCGTTACCGTATATCGATATTATATGTGTGGTTATCGATGCATCGTATCGTTAGACGTTTGATCGATGCATCGATCCATATCGATGTACTGTTACACCCCTAACTAGATTGACAAATTAATTTTATAAAGTACAAATTTTCCATGCAGATTATAAATTAATATAATCCTAAAAACTCCATGGATACAAGAATCACAAAATAAATTACAGTACTTTACATTTTTATCATGTCAAACTACAGTACACTGCTGTAAATCTTATAAAAGAAGATATTTTAACAAATGCAGTGTATTTATTTATTTATTTTTTTTGTCTATCCAATTGAAGTAAAGAAATGGTGACCTACATTCTTTAAAATTTATTTTGTGTCCCATAGAAAAATGAGGTTTAGAATTAGATGAGTAAATTAAAAGCAAATTTGTATTTTTGGGTGAACTATCCCATTAAAGTTTATATTAAAACCCGACTATTGATTCATAATTGCCATCATCCAGTGAAGTGGAAGTGGGCTCACCATGCGGGAGGCCTGTCTGGCAATGCGGTACACCGTCCAACCATTGGCCACATTCTCCAACTGCTGCCTGATCACCGTCTTCACCTCAGCCGAGAGTGAGGCCTGACTGGCCACAAATAATACTGTTGCCAAGGAAACCTACGAAAAGCAACAAGACAAATAACTCTTGGGAACGTTTTGGCGGGAAAGTGAGCTACAGTTGGATATCATGTCTGTACTTGCTCACCAGAAGCTCCTGCTGTTTCTCTGATGTTCTGTGACTCGCCACCCTGAAGAGGTCCAGCAGATCTCCCAGCATCCCCTCTGCCAGCACCGGCTGCTGGGTGGCAATAGCAGCCAGAGCCTGACACATGAGCACCCGTGCGGAGTCACATGCGCAGTGCAGCTGTCCCAGCAGGAGGTCCACAGAGCTCTGACTGAGATGAGCACAGCTCTTCAACATCTTCACCAAAGAGGTGAGCGCCGTCTGGGTTCAAACAAAACGCAACATTTCAAAACTTAAAGGAGTAGTTCACTTTTCAAAAAAACTTTTGGTGATAATTTACTCACCCCCATGTCATCCAAGATGTCCATGTCTTTCTTTCTTCAGTCGAAAAGAAATGAAGCTTTTTGATGAAAATATTCCAGGATTTTTCTCCATATAATGGACTTCAATGGGGTCCAAACGGTTCAAGGTCCAAATGAGAGTTTCAGTGCAGCTTCAAATGACACCAGATGAAGAATAAGGGTAATCTATCGAAACGATCAGTCATTTCAAAAATAATTTAAAAAAGTTTAAGTTGGTAAATGAAATGAACCAGATGACTCGAAAAAAGATTAGTTCATTTTGATGAACGAGTTCAAACAGGAGAGTCACAAACGCGCATCACAGAACAGAGCAACGCGACCATTTGTGCTCATAAAACTTAAACTTTATTTATTTATTTATAAAATGACAGATCATTTTGCTAGATAAGACCCTTATTCATCGTCTGGTGTCGTTTAAAGCCCTTTGAAACTGCACTGAAATGGTCATTTGGACCTTGAACCGTTTGGACCCCATTGAAGTCCATTATATGGAGAAAATCCTGGAATGTTTTCATCAAAAACCTTCATTTCTTTTCGACTGAAGAAAGAAAGACATACACATCTTGGATGACATGGGGGTGAGTAAATTATCAGCAAAAGTTTTTTTTTAACGTGAACTAATCCTTTAAATTGGACCTATTATGCAATCCAACCACAACAATATTATTTATAAAGGTTAAAACTGTCTTCGCATCCTGATACCAATCAATAATAGAAGTGGTCCAAATATTAAAACATTATTATAGTTATGTACAATTATGATATCTACATATATCCTTTGTGGAAGACTAAGGACCACAAAATGTTTGTCTAATCATAGCACTCGATCCAAATTGCATGTTGTAACATTAATTTAACGCCGTCTATAGTGACGCTTTGTAGACTCTGCTCTAGTCCATGTGTGTTGGAGGATGTGCCAGAATAAGCTGCATTATGGACCTGGCTTCGTGACTCTAGTGAAAAGTGGCCTCAAACCAGCGCAAGAGCTGAAGGGACATCAGTCACATATTCTAAGACCTGTAAACTTTTGATTGACACTCACTTTAAGTGTCACCTGTGCAGTTTTACTGTCATCTTGACTGCAGAGCAGGATGAGAGACTCCATCCCCATCACGGTTTCTTGTTCCAGCTGGATGACCTCTGACAAAACATTCAGATTTAAAACCACGTTATTTTTCGTTTCATAAGGATGTCTATACAAGCCATATTTAATTACTGCTGAGAAGAAACCCACCTTTCTCTGGACAAGAAACAGCGATGCTGGTCAACACAGTGATTCCATGGGCTGCCACTGCCAGGTTACTATGGTAACAGCACTCCTGCGCCAGCTTCACCAGGTCAGTGTGACGGGGGGCAGGAGACGCCTCACCTGCGACATCCAGAGAGATTAAGTGTTTAAACTCACGTTGTTACATGAGAAATGCATAAAATCATTTTTAATAAAGTTAACATGATATGTTTGATATAGATTGAGATTTGCACCTGTATTAGGGCTGAAGTAGTGTTTAATTGCGATGGTTCCAGATAGTGTGGAGAGAACAGAGAGCATTCCCAGCTTCAGACTGTTGTACGGGGTGCTGAGAGCACACTCGCACAGCACCTACAAACACACATAGTGGAAATGATATATATCGGCATTTACTAGTAAGAAATGAACCAGCTGACTGTCCCGTGACTCTCTGACCATTATGTTCTTCCTGGTCCACAAGTGAGGAGCTTTTTTAGCCAATAGCTTGAGATCCTGAATGGCGAGTCTTTTCACTGCTTTTCTGGGGTCCTCCTTCAAGTACTGGAGAAGAAGACGAATCTACAAGACGAAAAAAATAAATAAATAAATAAATAAATAAGGAGGAATGACCTGCACATTCCCATCCAAAGATGGGTTTTACTTCACATTAAAGTATATATTTTTTTATGTAATTATATTAAAGGACAACTCCGGCGCAAAATGAACCTTTGGTCTAATTACACATTGTTACCTAGTCAACCGTTATCTGAGACTTTTTTTCATGATTGCCGAATGTAAATAGTTTTATCTATAAAAACAGTTTAGCCTATAATGCTAGTATAACGCAAGTATATAGGGCATAGAGTAATGACAAATAAAAATCACTTATTATTACCACTAACAAGGCTCAAAATAGCCCCACAGTAACACGGAAGCATAATAAGGGTCTCTACATTCAAACCGAAGCATTGAGAACTTTGTCAGTGTCCATACAGTTTAATAAGAAGATATTTTATACACACAGTCAACTTCGTGAATACAGGAAGAAGCCATCTTTGAAAAATAGTCTCTAACAGTCGATCTACGAACGCCGATCCAAGTGCGCTGGTGAGATGTGAATAAGGTGATAAGGTGAGCGCGAACAGTAGGCAACATGTACATTAAAGAGAAGAAAATAGTTCGTGTTTGTGTTTCTTCCGGAAACAATGGACCATGTAAGATTCTGCACAGTTCAGCGCACTTGGATCAGTGTTCGTAGATCGACTGGTAGAGACTATTTTTCAAAGATGGCTTATTCATGTATTCGTGAAGTTGACTGTGTGTATAAAATATCTTCTTATTAAACTGTATGGACACTGACAAAGTTCTCAATGCTTCGTTTTGAATGTAGGGATCCTTATTGTGCTACCGTGTTACTGTGGGGCTATTTTGAGCCTTGTTAGTGGTATTAAAAAGCGATTTTTATTTGTCATTACTCTATGCCCTATAGACTAGCGTTATACTAGCATTATAGGCTAAACTGTTTTAATAGATAAAACTATTTAGATTCGGCAATCATGAAAAAAAATCTCAGATAACGGTTGACTAGGTAACAATGTGCAATTAGACCAAAGGTTCATTTTGCGCCGGAGTTGTCCTTTAAACTCACTGCATTTCAAGTTTAGTCGTTAAAGGGATGTTTATCACAAAAAGATTTAATCATCTTCAGAACATTGAGAATAAAGATATTTTTAATGAAATCTGAGAGATTTCTGTCCCTCCACTGATTGAGTCGATTCAGGAAATTTGGACTAAAGCGCTCGATTCATTTGGGTTAGTTTTACAATCTCAGTTTATGAGCTTTTTGAAGTGACAAAGTAGTGGTTGCATAGAATGTCAATGGAGGGACAGAAATCTCTCAGATTTCATTAAAAGTATCTTGTGTTTCGAAGACGAACCAAAGTCTTATTGGTTTGGAATGAATTGAGGATTAGAGTCTTTTGGTTTCAAACAGAGATCACGATTCTCCTATGATTAACAATTTACTATAGGTTCCGACAAATGTTAATTGCTGCCGACTATTCAAAATGTCTAATGAATCTATTATCTAGATGGGTTTGAATGAATGATTTAATGACTCGCTCAAAAATACTTCAGTTTCAACACTGGATGAATCAGCGCTTTTTCAACTCTTGAGTGAACGATTCAGTGTGTCAAGAAAACATCCCCCACACCATTACACCACCACCACCAGCCTGCACAGTGGTAACAAGGCATGATGGATCCATGTTCTCATTCTGTTTACGCCAAATTCTGACTCTACCATCTGAATGTCTCAACAGAAATCGAGACTCATCAGACCAGGCAACATTTTTCCAGTCTTCAACTGTCCAATTTTGGTGAGCTCTTGCAAATTTGCCGGCCCGTCTGGCACCAACAACCATGCCACGCTCAGAATTGCTTAAATCACCTTTCTTTCCCATTCTGACATTCAGTTTGGAGTTCAGGAGATTGTCTTGACCAGGACCACAACCCTAAATGCATTGAAGCAACTGCAATGTGATTGGTTGATTAGATAATTGCATTAATGAGAAATTGAACGAGTGTTCCTAATAATCCTTTAGGTGAGTGTATGAGCGCAGTCTGACCTGCTCAGGGATATCGACGAGCGAGGAGGTGGCCAGCTGGGTAAAGGTGTGCAGAGTGACGATGAGCATGGCTGTGGACGGGTAGGAGGACACCAGCTCCTGGAGTAACTCTCTGCTGCACGAGGCCAGACTGGCGTCATGGTGCATGTGCTGGAGCATCGGGATCAACTTCAGCTTCAGCTCCACTGGAGTGTCCAATCCTTCAGGCAAACACACACCACCCATCAGACTGGAGAACACTTACACCAATGACGATCGCTCACATGAGGTGATCACGTACCTTGAATCATTTCACTAATCTTGTTGCAAATCCCTGCAGCAAAATCTCTGAGAAAAAAAGACTTAATGATTGAAATGTTTACGTTCAACGTGTTTTCTATCTCTAAATCATCTCTAATTTATAATATTATAATACGCTGCCCGGCCCAAAAAAAGTTTGGATTTAAATAGGCAAATCCTTGAGTGGATCATTATTGCAGTGATTGTAATGTTTCTAGCATGTTATACTGTATGTATGGCAAGCAATACTTCTAACCCTAATTGATGGAGTGTGTAACCTCATTTCATTAACAAGCATGTAGGAAGACACATCATGTCCATATTCCAGAATGACGAATTCAAGATTCATCAGCCTCATATTGTGAAAGAATGGTAATGCTAAATATAAACATTCACATTTCAAAGAAATTTCTACCATAAAAAGCTTCTAAAATCATTTTAATATTTAAATTAACTAGTACCTAACCAAAATGTTTTTTTTTTGTGTTTTTTTTCATGACAGTCTGAAATGACACTTACTTAGAGTGTGAAGAGAAACTAGCAGCTGCAAAAATAGCCGCTTCTACTTCAACATTATCATGAGAGTCCAGACTTTGCCGGATGCTGTGGTGGGCATTTTTCCTCTCTGGAATAATGGAGGCTAAGCTTCCCAACATCCTGTCAAAATGCACAAGACACAAAAACATATTGACACAGTGTGTACGTATAGAACAGAACAGAAATGTTATTAAATTTTAGAAAGCTGAGAACAAATGTGACGAAACATTTTGAGGAAGCGAATGCTGAAAAACACTCGCAGTCGCGGATGGAAGTACCTGAGAGTTATTGCTCTGGCAACAGGATCATTGCTATGGATGACGGAAAACACTCTTTTGACGAACTCGTCCACGTTCAGGATCTTCTCCAGGTGTTTCTCGCTCAGCTGCGTGACCTTCAGCACACAGAGTCGCAGGAAGTTGTTCCTAATTTGACAGGAGTGAATTTATAGATTCAGAACTTTTCATAACAGAGACCAGCCAAGAAGATTAGTAGCATTGTGTTATTAAACAAATGCCATTATTTAGAAATATTTGACAAATCAGATAAAGTATTTCGCCCCGGTAATAGACAACTTCAAGCTAATGAATATAGATTTTTTTTAATTATTATTATTATTATTATTTAATGTGCACAGATACCCAAGTCTAAAGATGTCTGCCAGTTTCAGAAAGGCTGAGTTGATGAGGATGGGGAAGGGATACTTCTGGAAGAGTTTGGGGAAAAGGACCACGGCTTCACATTGCTCGCCCAGTTTACAAGACCTCAAACCTTTAGTTGTGCAAAAATAACAACATGAATGTTTTCATTAGTATGATATTCCATGTTCTCTGAATGTAAACAATCAGATATCAGATCGTATATGATGTAAGGCACGTATAATGAAAACAGTCATGCATGCTCTGTGTGTTGTTTATGAAGCACCTTTATCAAGCTCCATCAGCGCTGAATTGGCGTCCAGCTCCTGCTCGCCGTAAGCGGCCTCCGACAGAAACGAGCGCGCTGCGGAGAGCGACATTATGACAAGACTACGAGAAAATATATACTGTTTGTTTATCAATATTTTTTATTTGTTTGATTAGATAGACTTTGTGAATGAAGTTTGAAGTGGGTGACCCGGCTGCAGTGTAGATCACGTGGCCATGAAGGATATTGCGTCAGGTTTCCGTTAAAGCGTAAACCAATAGAAAGGCACCGTCCGGGTACCAAAAAGGGCGGGGCCTATGTGTCGGCGTTAACTCCGATTGGTCTCAGTCAGTCTTGTTTGCTCTTATTTATTTATTTATTTATAAATATAAGTTCATGTTGTTTATACATGTGGTAAATAAATAATTAATAAAAATAGCAATAATGTTGATTGTTGTGTTGTAATTCACGTCCAGAAATCGTCTTCATTCTTACAGATAAATAAAATAAAAAACATAAATATCTAGTTACATGCAATTTTGTTCACCTGTAATAAACAAACGAAATAGCGTCGAGTTAAGAAGTTATAATTATGAGATACAATGTTGAAATAATGACATAAATGAAGAACTTATATATAAGTGTATATATACAACTTTCATCTCACAATCATGTTTTAGTGTGTCATAAATTCTTAATTCTCATAATACCTACTTGTATAAGCTTTTTTTTTTTCTTACATCGCAGACAAGGGCTTCCATAAATTGTGATAAACAGTTGTCAAATTTAAAAGAAACAATGTTTTTTTTTTTTTTTTTAACCAAAACAATTAGATGCTTCGGGATTTATTTAGTTATCTGGATACTGGATAAAGGCACCCCCCTTTTTGATATGAGGCATCCCCAAAAATAAAGCTGCAAATGTTACATTGGCACATCCAAATTCCACTCTGTGCGCCTCAACAACTTCCGATAGTCTGACGTATCGACCAATCAGAACAGCGAACGTCAATCTCGCGCGGAATTCGTCTTTTCCGCTTTTTCATTGTTCGCGGGAAACTGAACACTTCTGAATGAAACGTCTATCCAGCAGGAGCAATGACTCTTTTTCACCATGTTGTTGATCGAGGAGTTATAAAAAGACGGTTCAATGGTGAGTGCTATAAGGATATGTCAGTGGATATCTATGTTATTACGCTGTTTACTCACTCAAACATGCTTTAATATTAATAAGCAGGCGAGCGTCGAGGCTATCCGCTGTCCTCTCTGCTGGACGGGTATCAGTGCGCGCGACAGGACGAACACATTTCATATGGAGCCTCGGCTGCTGCTGTCCCGCCGTTTGGGTGCACGTTTTCCTCTGGTAAGTTACACCCTCAATTAAACATTCACAATGAGTTCATATGTTGTCAGAAACATACGAGTATATAATGAGTAAACTTGCTTTGCAATGTTCAGCTCCTGGTCAACAGAACAGCCTTGCTGTTGCAAATGAAGAAGGGTTTGTGACCATCTTCAATACCAGAGAAAAAAAGAGCTCGGTCCTGAAAGGTTGGTACCTAGATTCGAAACTGGCTACTTACGTAAAGCATAGCATTTATTCATATTCCTGACACATAATTGTTTTTTTGCAGAGTGGCAGGCACATGATAATGCTGTTTTTGATATTGCCTGGGTTCCTGGTACAAACAGCTTGGTGAGTTTTGCATGATTCCTCTGTTTAATGATGGGGTCAGTGCTTTGGACTAAATTAAATCTTCTGTGTTTTCATAAATATTAATTATGGCTTTAAATGTGAATTATTTTACAGGTAACCGCCTCTGGTGACCAAACCGCCCGTCTGTGGGATGTTATCACTGCTGACCTGCTGGGAACTTTTAAAGGACATCAATGCAGTCTTAAATCGGTTGCTTTTTCCAAGCAAGAGAGAGGTAACTAACTCTACCCATCACATAAGACTGAATATTACTGTTCTGTTTGTGCAATGCAAATTATATGTGCATGACATATGACTTATTATTTTTGCCATGTGCAGTGTAATGAGACTGTATCCCATAAGGCAGTGTACCCATTTTAACTCTCATTTTAGTGACACTAACCAGATGTAATACACTTTTTATAACATCTTTCTTGACACTCCCGATAATTAAGGCATACTTGTGTAAAACCACCTTGGCTGCTAACTGAAAGAAGTTGAAGTGCTGAAATAACAATAAAGTGAACTATAAATATTAAAACAACCATTTCTATGAAACACAAAATGACAAACACAAAACTTAATCTAAAATTAAAAGAAAAAGTCAAAAACATTATGATAGAGCATAAACTATGCTAAAAATAACACTGATTAATAGGCATGAATGAATGTGCACTGCATACTTGCTATTTTCTTTTCTAGATTTATTTTTTTAAGCGGCTTGTTCTCTCATTACAGCTGTGTTTAGCACTGGAGGCAGAGATGGGAATATCATGATTTGGGATACAAGATGCAGTAAAAAAGGTTCTTTATTATTCCGAACACCAATGCTTAATAATGGGGCTGTTGAAATGTTTTCTAAAGCTCACTGAAAATGTTTTCATCCATCACAGATGGTTTCTACAGGCAAGTAAAACAGATCAGTGGTGCCCATATGAAACCTGAAAGATATACACCTCAAAACAAGAAGAGGCGTGGGATGGCGCCCCCTGTGGTGAGTTAAACAACCTGACATTAATTTAAGAGTGCAGGCTTTAATTAAAGGATTATTCACTTTAAAAAACAAAAAACTTTTGCTGATAATTTACTCACCCCCATGTCATCCAAGATGTCTTTCTTTCTTCAGTCGAAAAGAAATTAATGTTTTTGATGAAAACATTCCAGGATTTTTCTCATATAATGGACTTCAATGGACCCCAACTGTTTCAAGGTCCAAATGAGTTTCAGTGCAGCTTTGAACACCAGACATTGACGGTGTTATCTAGCGAATCGATCGGTCATTTCAAAAATAAATAAAAACGTTTAAGTTTTAAAATGAACAAATCTTTTTTTCGAGTCAATTCGTTGAATGAACCAAATGACTTGAAAAAATATTCGTTCATTTTGATGAACGGGTTCCAACAGGAGAGTCACTGACGCACATCACAGAACAGAGCAAGGCGAGCATTTGAGCTTATAAAACTTACATTTTGTTATATATTTTTGAAATGACCGATCGTTTCGCTTGATAAGACCCTTATTCTTCATCTGGTGTCGTTTAAAGCCCTTTAAAGCTGCACTGAAACTCATTTGGACCTTGAACCGTTTGGTTCCCATTGAAGTCCATTATATGGAGAAAAATCCTGGAATGTTTTCATCAAAAACCTTAATTTCTTTTCGACTGAAGAATCTTGGATGACACGGGGGGAGTAAACTACCAGCAAAATTTATTTATTTATTTATTTTTTTTAAAGTGAACTACTCCTTTAAAATGCATTTTGTAAATACAACGAATATTTGTCTTTTAGGCCATATTTATATCATATGTGTCACGATTCCTCGATTAAATCTGAGTACTCATTTTTAAAAAAATCCTCAATTGCAAGTTAGTCATGACGAGAGACCAGCAAAAGAGGCCATTCCACGGTTGAGGATCCATGAACCGCAGTATTAGACCATTTTCTAAGGCTGCACGATATATTAAAACCATTTTAAAAACTACATTATAGATATGCCATTGAGTGCTTTAATTATTTACAAGTGTCTCAGAGCGGTTCTGTTCACATATGCTATTGTTTGCTTAGGTTGTAATTACCACAACAAAATATCTGATTAATATAAAGGTAAAAATCAATTTAAACTTAATGGACATTTACATTTCTGTCACTGCTACAAACTAACCACCGCACAAAATATAAGTCTGCTGTCCAGTCCAAAACCTGCCAAGGTACCAACACAATAACACTCAGCTAAGTATCATCTGATCATGGTCATCAACAAAATCCTAGAAAATATCGAGAGATTTTTTTTTTTTTTTTGTCAATGTCGCACACCCCAAACTTTTTATTAAAGATAATACAGTGGAAGTTCCATTTTTGGTAATTCAGAGCTGTGTGTGTGTGTGTGTAGGACTCCCAGCAGGGTGTGACAGTGGTTCTCTTCTGCGATGAGAACAAGCTCATCTCCTCGGGAGCAGTCGACGGGTGAGCACACAATGCAGTCCTGTACAGATTTCTTCTTATTGCTCGTTTTATACATGATTCTGAACTTTATTGTCCGTGGATACCACACAAAAATAGTCACGCTTTTCAATTTTATCTCCAACTGTAATTTGAATGCTGACGTGCCGAGATGAAATTTCCCAATAACATTCTGATCTCGTCATAGGATCATTAAAATGTGGGATTTGCGGAAGAACTACACTGCGTACTACCACAACCCCCTCCCTCTACAGACCTATCCCTACCCAGGCTCCTGCACACGCAAACTAGGTACACAGCTCACGTCCAGTCGGTCATTAGACCAATAGTAATGAAGTTGAGTTTTCACTGATGTTTTCCTCCGCAGGATATTCTGGACTGTCACTGGACTCTACTGGCTCCAGACTGTTCTCCAACTGCACAGATGACAATATCTACATGTTCAATATCAGTGGATTGAAAACCACTCCAGGTAATGCCAATTTATTATTTAATTCTTGTTGTCTCTCTGTTTCTGAGACTGAGCTTTTACATTTGTTCTTTTTCACAGTTGCTGTGTTCAGTGGCCACAGTAACTCCTCATTTTATGTGAAGTCCAGTGTCAGCCCAGATGACCAGTTCCTGGCCAGTGGTTCGAGCGACCATCAAGCTTACATATGGAAGGTAATAAGTTGGAAAATAAGAACTTTAAAGTCTGCCTGAGAACATCTGTGGTCACTATCTGCACACAACTTTTTGATTTGCTTTTGTTTCAGATTTCAGACCCAAAACAAGCTCCCATGATGCTTCAGGGCCATAGTCAGGAAGTCACATCAGTGGCCTGGTGCCCCACCGATTTCACCAAGGTTGGCACTTTTAAGTGCACGTGAAATACAAGTTTCTGATTGAAAATGAAGTTTTATATTGTTTTGTAATATCCATCGCTTTCTCTGCAGATCGCTTCCTGTTCTGATGACAACACCGTTAGGATTTGGCGCCTGAAACGCAGACCAGATAGCGAAAACTCATCGAACCGAGACGCAAACATCGTAGGCTGGACACTTCGTAAAGTCCAGTCACCAACCAGAACACCTGGTAGGGTTTTCAGTGAAGTTATTATTTTTTTTTTTTTATGTTTAACAACCAATCAAACGTTTGAAATAAATATATATTTTTTTAATGTTTTTGAAAGAAGCCTTTCATGCTCAAATCAGCATTTATTTGATTAAATATAATATTAAATACAGCAAAATGTTAATATTTGGAAATTTTATTGCAATTTAAGAGAACACAGGATTTATTCCTGTCATGGCTAAGCTAAATTTTCAGTTTCACAGAAATCATTTTAAAATGCTAATTTCGTGATCTGTTATTATTGGTACTCTATTAATAATGGTCAGTTAATATTGTTAATAATATCAATGTTGCAGTTTGATGCTTAATATTTTTGATTCTTTGAATGGAAGATCTTTAGTAACACTAGTAATAGTAGTCTTGAGAATCTCTTTATGGTCACCTTTTGTTCAGTTTAATGTGAATAAAAGTACTTTCTTTAATGAAAAACTCACACCAAAGTTTCTAATTGTTCTTTATCATAGTTTACACAAGTATTAAGCAGCACAACTGTTTTCAACATTGATAATAAGAAATGTTTTTGAGCATCAAATCATCATATTAGATTGATTTCTGAAGTATCATGTGACGCCATAAATCACATTTTTAAAATCTATTCTAGAATCAATTGACAATTCAATTGTATTTTTTCACAATGTTATACTGTATCTTTTGATCAAATAAATGTGAAATTCTTAATTATACCAAACTTTTGAGCGGTAGCACATAGCTATAAATTCATAATTGAAATGTTTGGTTTCTTGATGGGTACTTATGATTTCTGATTCGTCTCCTCAGGCCGTTACAACCCCGTTGAGCTCACTCCAGCCAAAAGTCCTGGTTCAGAGAGGGTGGTTTCTCTGGCTTCACCCCAGCCTGCTTCTTGTGCTCCTACGGGTGCCGATTTACCCCTCCCATCAAACACCTCTGCACCTTCAGCCAAGCTCAGCAGCCCCAAAATCCCCTCGTCTATCCAGCAGTGGGTCAGCCGCAGCAGCTCCCCGCGTCACCAGGGCACGTCTCCTCTCCGTAAGGTGCTCACGCCAGTCCTCCAGGGCCCTTCATCAGAGCGCCGTGCAAAGCGACGGCTAGAGACGGGTGATTGCGCTAGCTCTGGTTTGGGAGGGGAGGGTGAAGGGGTGTCTGAATTGTATCCCGACGTTAAGCGGAGCAGGAGTTCGGTGAGCGCAGAGAACTGTTCTGAGGAGAAAGGTGAACTATTCAGTTTGAAAACAGATGAGAGGCTCTGCTCGACTGGTCAAGCCGGCGCTGGCAAGGAGAACAGCTCTCCGAGAAGGAATGATTGGCTGTCGGTTATCAGTCAGAGATTTAAAGGATCGACTCAACCCAAAAGCCCAAACGGCAGCAGCAAACGGCAAGATGCAAGAACACACAGCGCTCCAGTGAGTAGATGCATGGAAATACATCACTGCAGTCACACTTGATATAATCTAGATATCCATATAGATAAATCAATAGCATTCTGAGCCATGAACCAAAACAAACCAACTCCAAGATTATATCAATTGCAACATTGATTTGAAAATTGGAAAACAGGAGAAAAACTGTCTTTTTGTGGCATTTAACTACATAACCAATGAAGCATTGCACATGACATGATCAAACAAGGATATATAAAGCCTAGTGATTTATATACCATATTGTTTTTTTTAGATATTAGGATGCAATAAATTATCAAGTTTGACTTTGAACTATTTCAAACAAATGTTGTACTTTTGATCTGTCTTTTTATCAGATAATCACCAAGATTCAAATGTGAACACCCTAAATGGGACTTTTACTTCCTGATCCTTATGTTTTAGTTGTTCTCTAAAATAACTCCTCTAATTGGCCAAATTATCAATTTTAATTCATATCTTTTCTTTTTAGGCAGCGATATCACCGCGTCCCATGACGGTCATCTCTCCAACACCAAACAAGAAAGCATCACCCTCCAGACCCATGAAAAAAATCTCAAGCTACTTCATGAAAAGAACCCAAGACTGATTACTGTGTAGGGAGAGGATCTCTACATCTATGGTTTAAGGCCAGGTTTTCATTAGAAAAAAAGCATCAAACCATGAAGAAATATGCAGATACTACTTGTATTTATGTATGTAATGTGTATTTTTTTTTTTAAATCTTGTTGAATGTTTTTAAATGTATACGTTTCATTTCCTAGAGAAGGGTCAAATTGATAATCATTTGTCAACATTACAGAACTAGGCGTCATTTGACACCATAATTAAACTACAAGTTCTCTGAATCTTCCATGTCAATCTTTGATGCATTGAAATCGTTTTTTGTAGACACTATTTGATTTAACATGCGTTTTAAAGCATTTGCATTTATATAAAATTCTTTGTATGTCTAATAAGCATTGTTTTTTTAGCTTTCTAAATGTATAATGCTTCTTATTTGAGCATGTCTGTCCTTAAACGTGGGGTCACATTTTCAGAGTTTTATATTGATTGTTAAGCAGCACTTTACATAACTAACCCATTTACAATTTGCTCAGTGCCTTTTAGTTATTGAACATCAATATTGCAGTGAGTTTAAAAATGATTTGAACACTTTTTTTACACTGTACTATATCCTATAGTTCGTTTTTATTTTAAGTTTACATGATTTAAAGGTTCGTCCGGAATGAGACTTGACCTGACAGTTCCGCTTCTGTGTTTTGATCCTACTAGTTCTTGTTTTGCTTGTTTTTGCCTCAGGTCATCAGCATAGTTGATCAAAACTGTGCTGGTTTAGAAATGAAAGGGATAATTCACCAAAAATTTACATTTTTGTCATTTACTCGCCCTCATGTTCCAAACCTGTATAAGATTTTCATCTGTTAAACACAAAAGAACAGTCTGAAGGATGTTGGTGACAAAGTTGCCTGTAGCCATTGACTTTCATTGTAGGAAAAAAGATACTATGTAAGTAAGTCAACTGTCTGATTGCTAACATTCTTTAAAATATCTTGTTCAACAGAAGAAAGAAACTCGTAGGTTTGAAACATTAGGGTTGAGAAAATTACAAACCCATTTCAAATTAAAATATGCCTTTTTATATATTTATGTTCATTCACGCAGAAATGTGAATTGTCGAACCTATGTCATGTGCCTATCTTCTTTATAAAGGAGATGTTATGTAGCTGACAGTCTTTTCACTTCTGATCAAAAACGATACAGTAAAGTAAATGTTGACTGAATTAGTAATATTCTCACGTTGTATGTTCCAAAGAAGAAAGTAGGCCTACACGTTTGAAACAGGGAGAGCAATGTTTTGTTTATCTCCTCATTTTTTACGAGTTCATTTTGGGGTGAGCTGTTTCTTTAACTGACTCATTCGACTAGGCTATAAGTCTTACAAACTCAATTGTTATTTTATGAGCAATTGTTGAATTTTTGTACCTATCTGTTCACTTTTTTATCATTGTTATCATTAAATATATTAATTATTTTTGTGTGGTTTAACGTTTGTTTGTGAGAGTTCAAGGATACAACCTCCTGACTTTATTTCCAGAAGAGAATCTGATTGGTCAATGGGCGGGGCTTACTATTTTCTCGAACGTTCATTGGATGAATCATCTGTCTCTCAAGAGCGCCACGGGACTTTATTAAATTTAGACCTCACAGTGAGGCGTAACAGCGGTTGAATGAAGTTCAGTGGATCAGAGGAATTTCACGGCCCTGCGGATTCACATTAAACTCTTTTCTCGCTTCGGTTATACATGGATGGAGCCGGTGTCAAGCGACTGGATAATCATGACTCATGAGTGTTTCGGCTGTGTGTCGTCTGAGTTTGAGTTGTGTTATGTGGAGTAACAGGTTTATTGAGACACTCAGAATGATACAAAACTACTGTTAACTACGTGTTTACATTCACACGTCACCAAAAATCATCATCATCATCATCATCGCAGGACACCTGTGTGTTTTTGGAAAGCATGCAGCCTTCATGAGTGTCGACAGTACGTTTCGTCGGATGGGGTCTGGTGAGTTTGATGTACGTTACAGCGCAGTCAATGGGATGTCAGTCAGAATTGAACACGTTTAGGGCTCACACGGACACTGTAAACGCAGCTCGTTGGATAGACCTGCTTTGGAAATGTCGGCGATATCCGCGGCCGAGAAAGTGGACGGATTCACGCGGAAGTCTGTGAGGAAGGCTCAGAGACAGCGGGCGCAGGGCTCGTCTCAGTTCGCGGTGAACAGTAGCAGGCCCGCGGCTCCCGAGATCTCGGCGCTCCCGCAGCTCAAAGGTAAGAGGATAAAGCCTGGGAATAGACTCTCAGGCTCCGTCTCAAACCCGTGCGAGCTGCCTACCTAGACAGCGTTGTGGTGCCTACAATGGTTTAAAAAGTAACAGATACAACTAATAAATTATGATAAAACACGCATTTTAAAGTTACCTATGTGTATCTCTGATAAGCTTCAAGTGAAGTATTTACAGCAGGCCCATAACTGTCTGTTGAGAGACTCGTGTGTTTGGGTGTGCACTGTAAACAGCTAAACACAAATTGTGTCAACATTATGTCTCCGAGCCTCTTCTTATCAAGGGAAGCATCTTTATTTCGTGGTCTAACCTGTGTTTTCGCACACTTCCTGTCCTCTTATTTTTGAAGTCACGTGGTTGTCAGTTCTGTAAATCTGTCAATAGAGTGCAACAGTGCCCGCCCGCTTTTTCTGTGGCCTTGGTCCCAAAACTATATTTTTTTCCATAGGGATTTTGAAAAAGTCTTGGTTAAAGAGTTATAAAAGCCATGAAAAGTTTAAATTCACAACATTGCAAACTTTGTGTCCGATTTTTCAAATACTTTATTGAATCAAAGACTGTAGTTTACCTGTTGCCTGCATGAGAAAGAACAGAAGGAGCTAGACATGAAATTCAACACTGCTCATAATATTGCATATGAGCTGCCTTTCACCAAATTTACCTCAGATATTAGAAGAAGAAACTTGTCATATCTCTTGCACACACACCCAATGTTTATAGGATGCATTAGGAGGAGGCTGAACTAGTATATGCTGGCATTATTGTTATGGTGATGGTCTGTGACACTGGTGACAACACATGACAAAATTAAAACATGTTTATTATTTTGTGGCTCTTAAAAAAAATAATTTGGCACCTATTTTATCCCCCCTAATAGGAGCCAGTGGCTCTTTAATTGATTTGGGCCAGATAAGGCCCAGGTAGGTATGCTATCTGGAGAGTTACTATGGCATTGGTGGTAATATGCCATATTTGGCCCACACACATCACACTGGTTTGAGTGTGAGTTGTGGCTTGCAGTGTGTGGCCCATGTGACCTTTGCCACTGCCAGAAGAATGTGGGAGATGTGGGCCTGGGCCACAACTGGGCCAGATGTCATTTTCTATCTGGGTTACATCTTCGTTCAGGGAGAAAACCGTTTGTTTTTTCGCCTTTTCTATGTGTAAAAGAAACAGTTTGAGAAGATTCGGATGATCCGGATGGCACATCTCTTAATTCTGTCACCGATTAAACCCAATGCATAGGCTTTCACTCAATAAAATAATCACACTGCTGAGAGTTTTTGGAAGTTTTGTAGTGTGTTTGGTTAAACATTACCTTTGTGAGTGTGACTCTGTTTATTGGCTTGTAAATTAGCAGAACTCACAGCCAGCCACCATAAAACTGTTTCAAGCTTCAATAAAATTGATTTTGGTTGTTGTGTGTTGAAATAAATATAGAAAAAAAACGTGTGTCGGTGTCTGTCTGCTGAATGTGATGCACAGTCTTTGATTCCCCTCCATGGCCATGCGAAAGTGAATATTTACTGTGACAACAAACTTAACGCTTTCAACAAAGACATGGATCAACTTCTCTCAGCTTTTTTTCAGCAGCACATTTTTATTTGGACGTTTTTAGAGTGAAATCAGCGAGCGTCTAGCATGGGACAGTGTTTTCATAGTCAACAGGTGGAGTGTAATTACTCACGGTTCGGTTTGTATCATGATGTTAGGGTCACTGTTTATAGTACATTTCTGTATGTTTAGGGAAAAAGAACTAATGTCAAATAAAGAAAAAATAATCGAACCACCACATGCAACCACACAAATTAGAGCAAAGATACTAATTGGGTATCTAACAGTAGATTCCAGGTACAGAAATTGAGTAAAGTAATAACACTTCATATTTGACTGTATAAATTAGAGATTCATTGTTATTAAAGTTACAAAAGCTATTGAGTCAAGAGCAGTGGGTGGTTTCCTTGTCTTTTGTTGTTTGATTAACTTTTAACACAGACAGCAGGTATATTAGTCTCTTGTCACTTTAAAGCGCAACGTGGAGGTTGGACACCCCTATATAGCATAGTGTATGTTGATGATAAAACAACTAGATTTTCAGAACTGGAGTAATATATAACTATGCCATTAATGATATTTTGAGATAAATTGTGATAAAATAACTTTCGAGTCTATAAAGCACTAACCGGAACTGACGATGGGCGAGGGAGTCTGGTCAACCAACACAAAAACACAATCATTTACCATTATGGCTTCTTTAAAACTTTCTCTGTCTCTCACTACTGCTCTAACTACACTCACCTAAAGGATTATTAGGAACACCACACTAATACTGTGTTTGACCCCCTTTTGCATACAGAACTGCCTTAATTCTACGTGGCATTGATTCAACAAGGTGCTGAAAGCATTCTTTAGAAATGTTGGCCCATATTGATGGGATAGCATCTTGCAGTTGATGGAGATTTGTGGGATGCACATCCAGGGCACGAAGCTCCCGTTCCACCACACCCCAAAGATGCTCTATTGGGTTGAAATCTGGTGACTGTGGGGGCCATTTTAGTACAGTGAACTCATTGTCATGCTCAAGAAACCAGTTTGAAAGGATTTGAGCTTTTTGACATGGATTATCCTGCTTGAAGTAGCCATCAGAGGATGGGCACATGGTGGCCATAAAGGGATTGACATGGTCAGAAACAATGCTCAGGTATGCCGTGGCATTTAAACAATGCCCAATTGGCACTAAGAGGCCTAAAGTGAGCCAAGAAAACATCCCCCACACCATTACACCACCACCACCAGCCTGCACAGTGGTAACAAGGCATGATGGATCCATGTTCTCATTCAGTTTACGCCAAAATCTGACTCTACCATCTGAATGTCTCAACAGAAATCGAGACTCATTAGACCAGGCAACATTTTTCCAGTCTTCAACTGTTCAATTTGTTGAGCTCTTGCAAATTGTAGCCTCTTTTTCCTATTTGTATTCTGCATACCTCGGTTGTAACGAGCCTCCCCTGACCTCTATCATCAACAAGGCATTTTCACCCACAGGACTGCCGCATACTGGATGTTTTTCCCTTTTCACACCATTCTTTGTAAACCCTAGAAATGGTTGTGTGTGAAAATCCCAGTAACTGAGCAGTTTGTGAAATACTCAGACCGGCCCGTCTGGCACCAACAACCATGTCACGCTCAAAATTGCTTAAATCACCTTTCTTTCCTATTCTGACATTCAGTTTGGAGTTCAGGAGATTGTCTTGACCAGGACCACACCCCTAAATGCATTGAAACAACTGCAATGTGATTGGTTGATTAGATAATTGCATTGATGAGAAATTGAACAGGTGTTCCTAATAATCCTTTAGGTGAGTGTACATTTACATCCACAACGGGAGAGCTGAACGCGAGTTCTTATTTGCCTCGCCCTGCGTCATATGATGCGTTGCCATAGCGGGAAAGGCGTATTCCAGAGCCTAGCACATTTTCCTCAAAATTTCTACATCAAATGAGATATCATTATTAATTTACGTGTTTTTAAAGGACCTCTTCAGACAATATCAAGTATTAATTCAGTTACAAATTCAAGCTGTACGTTGCTCTTTAAGATACAATGCACGGATACCAACACTGGTACCAATACACATGGGTTGTCTTTCTTGACCGTTTACGTTCATTTAAGACGAAACCGACTATGTCTGCTAGAACACTCGCTAAGACGGGCAAGTTGACAATTTTTGTGTGAATTCATCCATTTAAGCACAAGACTTGGAAGAGAATTCAATATGTTCTCACTCTCTGAGACACAGCTTTCTGTGCGCGCTTCAAATGAGTGTAAGTCCTCTTTTGGAAAGTTCTCATATTGGGAAGCCAGAACATGTATCCGTTGACATAAACGTACGTTAGCCGAACTCTGTGTACTGTTTTATGTCTTGTTTTCAACAAACCATATTATGGTTTGTCAGATTTCAGATGAACTGCGGTGCAAGTGCGTGCCGAACTGTTAACACCCCATGTAAACTATATTCTTCAAAACTATAGTGAAAACATCAAACTATCATGCAATGCAATTAAATAGCTTCTCTTCCCTGCAAACAATACCATTGAGGAATGTGAGTATTGAATTTAAAGGTAAAAACAAAACGAAAGGTGCAGATATCTGTATTAATAGTATCAGGAGATATCTGTAT